TACTTCGCCAGACGCTCTGAGCGGCATGGAGCTCCCGTCTTGATTTGACCAGTTGACAAACCAACCACTAGATCAGCGATGAAAGTGTCTTCAGTCTCTCCAGACCTAGGAAAAAAACATAGTAGCATGATAATATTCATTTCTCTTTACCGAGATTCAAACAATAAAATTTCCTGCAAGAAAAATTCGAAAGTGTGAATTGCGTACCTGTGAGAGACCATAGTGCCCCAACCATTTTGCTTGGCCAGAAGATGAGCATTAATAGACTCTGTGACGCTGCCAATTTGGTTAACCTTCAGAAGAAGACAGTTGCAAGCCTTCTTCTCCACTGCAGTGGCAATACGTTTAGGATTGGTCACCTGATAAAAATGAAATATAAATCACATAATTGTATAAAACAGTAAAATGAGTTTTCATGTCAAATATCTTACCGTAAGATCATCACCAACAATCTGGATTGGTGTACGCGATGTCAAGTTAGTCCAGGCGGACCAGTCATCCTGGTCAAAGGGATCTTCAATGGACACCATTGGGAACTCCTTGATGAAGTCCAAGTAAACCTCGGCAAGCTTCTCAGAGGACAAGTAATCAGCAGGGTTGGATTTAGGGTTCTTGAAATCCAAATCGTATGTGCTATTCTTAAAGAACTCGGAAGCAGCCACATCCATACCGATTTCAATCTAAATAAAATACAAAACATCTATTAAAACAAACATAGCTGTTGTAATATTGAAATATGATAAATAATAGTACTTATTCCATGTTTTCTTATGTCTTAATTCAAAACTCACTTTTCCAGTATAACCAGCCTGTTTAATAGCATCTTGGATCAAGAACAGAGCATCCTTGTTATTTTGGATGTTGGGAGCAAAGCCACCCTCATCACCAACAGCAGTGGAGTCAAGTCCAAACTTTTCTTTGATGATTTTCTTCAAGTGATGGTAGATTTCAGATCCCATACGCATAGCTTCACTGAAGGATGAAGCACCTAAAATACATACAATGTAAGACATTTGAAGGAAATTTTCAATTCTAAATATTCAAATATCATTAATTATTTAATTTACCAGTAGGCAAGATCATGAATTCTTGCATAGCAAGTTTGTTGCCAGCGTGAGAGCCACCATTGATAACATTAAATGCGGGGACCGGCAGAACAATGTTGCTGTTGCCAGCCAAGTCAGCTAAATGCTTGTAGAGGGGTACTCCTTTCTTAGCAGCACCAGCTTTAGCTACCGCCAGAGAAACACCAAGGATTGCGTTGGCACCCAACTTTGACTTATTTTCTGTGCCATCCAATGTGATCATGAATTGATCAATCTAAAACAAATATATTTATACTTTCAATAAACATATTACAATCAAATTATATTAGTGCATATTATCTATGAGTTTAAATAAATACTGAAGAATATGTAGTACATTACCTCCTTCTGTTGAGTGACTTCAAAAGTCTGTTTTAAGAGTTCAGGTGCAATGATGTCATTGATGTTTTTAATAGCAGTCAAAACACCCTTTCCATGGTACTCACTCTTCACATTGTCCCTAAGCTCTAAAGCCTCATGGACACCAGTTGATGCACCAGATGGGACAGCAGCACGGAATAAGCCCAATTCTGTGACCTGTTAAAAAGTATAAAAATGCCTTGTTATTATGAACATTTTATTAACTGCTATGTTTGCCACCTTATGAGATAAAAAAAACTACCCCACCCACTTTTAAATTAACATAGAATGACAGAAAAAACATATGAATATTCAATGTTATTAAATATAATTAATTATTTACGGCTTACTCACGTATGCTTTTGTTTTAAATAATTTAAGTTATTAAATATGTTTATTGAACTTACCAAGTCAACTTCAACAGTAGGGTTACCACGAGAGTCGAAGATCTGACGGGCTTTGATAGACTTGATAGGCATTTTGAATGTAAAATTTGCAAACCTGTTAATAAAAATTAATCAACTTGAAACTAATCAAAGCCTTCACTTACACAATATCTTTAAACGTTCAAGTAAAAGATAATACTTATTTGTTATAATAAATCAAAACGACATTTTTTTTAATTGAATCTAATTGGAAAATTTACTTTTTCAGAGTTCGCTTAAAACTATGTTACCTAATGAAATGTAGTACAGTACTTTATGAAAAGTACTTTTTATGTAGTAATTTTGGGAAATATCACGTTTATAACCATAATGAACTAACCTGCTACAATTTAACAATCGAATTATCCTCTTTGACCTATCTTAAAATACAGCTGGAGTAGGTATATCTCGAAAGAAATCTGCCGGCTTGCTATACCTTTGACCTACACAAGGTGAAACTAGAGATGCTTACATAAAATACAATCGATAGAGTTGATTAAACTATGGTTTTGAAATAATGTGTAAATCTTAAAGCTATTTAGTTTAAAATTACATTGTCAATGATATTAAATTAAACAGGGTTATTACTTCGCAAGCAATTTCTTAGTTTTAATAAAAAAAATGACTAAATTGATGAATAAACCACGATTCTCAATCGATTTTTGTGACGATTTTATTCCGTAGACTTTCGTTGATTCTAAAATGTGTATGATCAAGCAAGCTCTATATGTCCATTTGACATTAACCATTTGCACCATTGTCCAATGTGTCAATGTCAATTAAAATGTCTTACAAAGTCAAGATAGTTTACCAAAATAATATATGTTAAAGAAGAAGCGAAGATAATTTTTAAAATTTTACAATGTCTGATAAAAAAGAATCAAGTGAAGAAAAGAAACCTATAGTAATAAAGAATGCTACGGACTTGCAAAGATTAAAACTTGAAAAGCTTATGAAGAACCCAGTAAGTAGCTACTATGGTTGCTAGCAATTTATTTCAAAGAGATGTATTAAAATCACCATGTTTTTAGGACAAACCAGTGGTTATACCAGAACCCCCTAGGCAGAAAACTTTAGCGCCTCCTCCTGATTTTGTACGTAATGTTATGGGATCGAGTGCGGGGGCTGGATCCGGAGAGTTCCATGTATACAGACATTTACGAAGAAAGGAATATGCTAGACAAAAATTTATACAAGAAAAAAGTGAAAAGGTTTGGTATATTTTTTATTACAATTAAGTTTATTTAAACATAACCTTAAATCTTATTAAAAGCAAAGCCTTTAACATCAAACTGAGCTGTTTGTCGCTCTGCATATTATTAAATCTCACATTGATAATATAATTTTCAGGAAAAACTTGATGATGAATACCATAGAAAAATTGAAGAGAATAGGAAAGCTGCAGAAGATAAAACAGCAAAGAAGAGAGCTAAAAGGTTAAAGAAAAAACAAAAAGCAAAATCAAAGATTAAGAAACCAAAGACTGGCAATGAACAGTCTTCACAGTCAGAGTCTGATAAGAATTCTGATGAAAGTGACACAGAGAACAATGAAAATAAAAATAGTGATAATGATAAATCCTAAGTAAATAGCATATAGGCATAAATAAACAAAATGAAAACAATTTAAGTGTTTTATTTCTTTACCTTCTGAAGAGAAGCCATAAGATAACATTTCACATAGCATTTCCTCCATTTGTATTGTAGTTCAATTTCAATTTGTTTATTTAATGCACAAAGTATTAATGGAAATGCAAGTGTTTAAAGTAAAACACTATTTAAGTTACATTAACTTTATTTAAAAATCCTTAATTATGAATAATGTGTTACATCTACTGCACAGATGCCATAATGCTGTCTTCATTCTTCTTGAGGATGACAAAGCCCTCCATGACAGGTGACAGGGGAAGGTACTCATCAGTAGCAAGCTCTGCACGTTCTCCAAACGATAGCAGCACAGGTGTAGTGTGTGTGTGCGAACCCGCGATTGTTTTAGGTGTACCCGCTTTGCCAATTACATCAACCGCCTGCCAATTGACATAGATTTATGTAAGAAAACTTTTGTACAAAAATTGAGGGTTTTTTAAGTTACATAAATGTACATTACATACCTGTCCAACACGAACACTGACATTGAGGGGCTGGAGGTTCTCGTCGAGGGTGACCAGCCAGCGGGGCTGCATTGCCGTCGCCAGCACATACAGTAAGTAGTGCGATTTGCCCAAGATTACTGTTAAAAACATAAAAGGTGAAGTTCATATAACATTATTTGACTATCATTCGCTTTAAGAAAGCGCGAAATAGTAGTTTTTTAACATTTGTATGAGCGAAAGCATTAACGCAAGTTTTTTACCAATGAGCTTAATAAAAGCTTTATGTGAATGTGAAGTGAAGTTACGAAATCATCATCACAACATCAACCAAGTCACTGGCACAAGATGTTATGCCTGGTTCACTTGACCAGTACTTAGTACTACTAATAATAATTTTGGCTTACTATTCTTGCAGTCAAGGAATGCTGTGAGCACGACGAGCAGTCCGGCGAGCGCGGGCTGGCTAAGCAGGCGGCGGTCTGCGTGCGCGGGGCACAACGTGACGGTGCCCTTGCCCGCGTGGCACAGCCCCTGCGCCAGGCGCACCATGAACAGGTGCACCGGGGACTTGCCGTGGTACAGTGCCAGCGCGCGCAGCATCGTCGCTAGCCTGCACATCACATACACTATGGGCTTCGAAATGTTCTTGGCTAGGTCTAATTATATATGGTCCTTTCTGAATCACTTTTTTTCAATACTCTGGGGGTGTTAACTGTCCTCTCCTAGCAATACCCAAGACATAAAAGACCATTGAAAGAATAGAAGAGAATTATTTTACAGAAAAACATACTATAGACAATAAAAATAATGCACTAAAAGAACTAGGTTACACACTTTTTGCTTGCAATCAAAAAATGGGAAGAGTAAAATAGAAATTAAAACCCAGTTTTTAATTAAATATACCAAGCAAATGTTGCAACTGCACGAAAAATTTACTTAGGTATATTCAGTTTTCAGTATATTTAGTTACCTGGCATTATTAGTGCCGGCGCCGACAAGTCCCATAGCGAATATAGCGTTGTAAGCGACATCATTGTCCGAGTCGTGGGAGTACTTGTTGAGTACGTCGATGACAGCCAGCTGCGGGTTGGACACCGAGCACAGCGCTATCGCCAGCGGCACCGCGCGCCGCACCGCCGGCTCGCCGTAACGTCCCTGCACAAACAACATTCTATTTTGATCCCATGCAAATGTAAAATGTGTTGATAGAAAAATTGCAAATCTATACTTCTATACTAATATAATAAAGTGGAAACACACACTACTTTGTGGCGTAAGATGTCAGCAATCACAGCACATTTTTAAATAATTATTTCTTTAATAAAATGCCTTACACTTACACGCACTGACACGCTTTCGGTTATATATTTATAAATTGGAAAAAACCTCCATGTGGGAAAGGGACCATAAATTACAAGCTGCCAACATTTGGGAAGCAAGGTTATTATGGTACTGGTAATTTTGAAATTTACATTAAGAATTTGACAAATGTAAACAATAAATTAAGATTTTATAATTTCATGTGGTTGAAGACGTAAGGAAACAGCTAGTGCAACAATAAAACCTGCAACTTTCGAAATACTTCCTGTAAAACACTTTATTTTTTAATTTAAATTATAGTACTTTTAATACTATGACTTGAACCAATTTTATTTTTCACTCAATTCTGTTATTTTCAGGAGTCAATTAGCCTTGTGTCTTGCGATAATGAGATCACTAAGGATGTTCCTTAGTGAGTATGTGTCGACTGAATGTAGTTCGTCTACTGACCAGTTGTCCGAAGATGCGTGTGCACATCTCTGCGCCGGTCTCCTCTGCGAGCGCGATGACGGCGACGCCGAGCGTGGCGACCGCCTGCACCGACGACAGCTCCTTGTTCGCCTCTTTCTCCTTCTCCTTCTCTTTGTTCTTGCTCTCCTTCGACTTACCTAAAAATTACGTGTAATAATTTACTATCATCAGCACCTTCATCATAATCATCAGAGGCATTACAACCGCATAGACCTGGGCCTGATCCAGTAAATTTACTATAACAACAAAATTATATACATTTTAAGACATTTAAAAATCCCAATAATTTTAATGTTAGAAAAATGTAGTTTCCTGCTATGATTAGATTAGATAAAAATGATCAAACTTTTTCACATTAGTAAATAACTTACTTTTGTTTTTATCATCCTTCGAGCTGCCAGCGGGGCTGCTCTCTTTAGCCTCTTTCTTGTCTTGCTTCTTGAAGGCAGTGTCTTCAGCGGACGATTGCTCATTCTAAAATAAATAATTTACACAATTGAATAAGAAAATACCAATGTTTGTAGGAAATTCTTCATTTAATAAGCAGAAAAGAACATAAATATATATTATAAATGCGAACATTTAGATGGATGGATGGATGTTTGTTATAGTTTGTAGCCTATACGACTGAAGGGATCTTGGTGAAATTTGGCATAGATGTAATATGTGTTATGTAGAAGATAGAATATCTTAGAGAGAGAAGATAGAATATCTAGGCAGCACATAGGCTATTTGCTTTTGTTTTTTTTTTATTCCGCGCGGACGGAGTCGCGGGCAAAAGCTAGTTTAAACATAAAAACTCCAGTGTAGCTAACACTAGAGTGTTTTACCTCAGTGTCATAGTGCTTAGAGCAGATGTGCAGCATCTGTTGCACGACGAGCACGTCCCCGGTGCCGGCGTACGCGCACATCGACAGCGTCGTCTGGCACAACGACTGCTGCGGCTCCGGCAGCACCTCCAGCGCGGCCATCGTCGCCTCCGTGCGCTCCTTGCACCCTGACACAACAAACATTCATTCACACATACATCATTTAATTCCATTGCGAAGGTAAAACTTATATAGACAAAGTGGTCATATTGGACATACACACCTAAGAAACACAATCCAAGACCCAAGTGCAAAAATCTGGCATAAGTTGAGGAGTGAAGTTCCTTGTTGTCGTCGATTAAACGTTGAATGATTGCACAAGTGACCTGCAATATAGAACTCAAATTTATAAATCATTGTTTCAAATATTTAAAGAACTCAATTATAAAGATCAAGAAACGAGATATGATCATTATTTTATTAATTCACTATTTCACTTGAAAAATAGTCTAGTCAAATTTAATAAAATGAGGAACTTAAACTACCAAAATAAATCTATACAAGTGAGTAAATATAAAATTTCTCATTTCTATTAAATTCAACTATACAAATAGTTGTGTATACTAACATCGCCGTTACAAGAGCCGACAGCGATGAGGCCGCAAGCGATGGCGGCGAGGGCGCAGATCTCCGCGGGCGCGGCCGCGTCGCTCAACACAGGCAGCAGGTGCTGCAGAACGTCGTCACGCTGCGTGCCCGCGTAAGCTATACCCAGTCCTACGGGCAGTTAAATGCACATATAGTGCCACTATCTATGGCTTATGTACAGAAGGGGTGCAAATGTACAACGGGAACAGATGGTCATCGCCACTCAAGGACATCCGCAGTATCAGAAAAACTGCAGATGCGTCGCCGACCTTTGAGAAAGTGATAAGCTCGCTTCTTGAAGAACCTTTACTCGTAATGGTTTAGAAATACCACCCAGGGTAGACCATTCCAGAATGCGGATGTAAGAAGCAGAAAGTTACTTCACTTACAAATGCAACAGCATCGAGGGTTATTTTACCTCTCTGAATTACTTACAATATACAAAACTAACAATATTGAGATCCTTTCAATCATAATAATATGCAAACTATTAATTACTCATAGCAATAGAAATTATTGTGCAAAACTTTATCAGAATGACTATTAAAAATATACAACAACTTACCCAAAACGCTACCAATCCTTAGATTAGAGCTTGAATGCAGTACATAGTCGGACAGAAGAGCTAGTGCAGGGTCACATTCATTACGCACACCACAATTCACTAGACCCAGTGCAAGCAATGCTCCAGCCTTGATATGTTCATCTGCCGTGTATAGATACTTGTCTATGGGCGTCAGACCACCGTCCACATCCCATAAGTGAATCATGCCTAACGACGCGGCCGCTGACAACATGCCTGCAATTGTTAATGTTATTAATATCTGAAATAGATTTTTTTAAATTACATAATCTTAGCAAGCCTTTAAAATTACCATGATCCTTATTCTTATACATCCACTTGTTGCCATCTTCAGTGGTAACAAGTTTATCACGACCAAAGCCCGCATTTACAAATGCATTGACAAATGTAGCAGAGAGATTTTGTCTGGCCGAGTCTACAGGGTGCTCAGCCAGCAGGGAAGGCCTCAGAGCTGAGCCAGCCGACTCCAACCATGTCTTGTACACTTCTTCTGGAGTTTTTGGTTCCATTATATCAAGCTAAAAATATATTTTTTTTATTTCAGTCTCTATATAAATAGACAGTAAACATTACGTAAATATGACTTTTATTGCTTGACTGGCTTTCGGCCGCGACTCTGTCCGCGTGGTAATAAAAAAACAAAACTGAATAGTCTATGTATTCTTCCAGACTATCAGTTCAGCCATTTAGTCTACAAATTCTAACAAACATCCATCCATCCATCTATCTAAACTTTCACATTTATAACATTATAGTAAGACTAGTACTTTTAATTCAAGTAACATATGACTTAGTTTACCTCTCTTGCTAAGCTAAGATAATGGTCATTAATATGTGCATTGAGGAGTATTGTACGCAAATCTTCATCATCCACATCTATTGGGACATATTGTCTTGCCAGCATGTAACACAATTGTTTCTTTACCAACCTATAACAAATAACGAAACAATGAAAAATTCTGATTATGTTTAATTTATTTCAGTACAGTCCCTACAGCATGTATGGAAAATAATCAGTAGGTACAGAGTAGAGGTTTTCAATACTCATTATCCTTGAATACAAGTCAGGTATTTGTACATTTGTTTTTGTAATACATACGGATCAGTGCAGGCATTAAAGACTTCTTCACATTTAGATTTATCGTGCAGCTGCATTGCTACAAGCAAGGCACGAGGGTACTCTCCAAAACGCAAATATGTGTCCAATACTCCTTGAAGAATTTGTGTTGATTCTGGTTCCACAACATAACTTGCACATCTAAAAACAAAACATATAATATTTTACTGATGAATCAAGTATGGTTTTACGAAAAATTTATGAAACACACTACATGATTCAAAACCAAAATCAAATCAATTGTTTAACCAAGAACTACAAGGTGTTTATAAAAAAAAAATATTATTGCTATGCAGAAGATTTTTATAAGGACATAATAAATTAAGAATATTCACCCAATTAAGTATAGACAGACACGGGGGTAGTTGCTCTGATCCATATGCTGTGTCAGTAAATCAAGCCTGTCAATTTCCATCAACAGATCACATGCTTGTATCTCAGCCGAGTGTTGCATGTCAAAGGTAATAACATCCCTCACTAATGTTAACAAGGTTTCCATGTTCTCTATATTCCATTCTTCAGCAATTTCCCCCTCTAATTGCCTGAAATTTAGTATCATAATGCATTATCAACAAATTAAAAAAAAATTAACACTAAAAGAGTTAAAAATACTGAAATATAAATTTACCTCACATATTCATGTCCCCATTCTCCAACATTAGACATAGTGCCCAAAAGACAGTATTTGAGACATTCTCTTTTTTCTGCAGCATCCTAAACAAGATAAACGCTGATAAATATAAACATATAAATGCTCATGCTCATCTCAGTACAGGCAATACTGACTAAATAATAACATAATATAATACTTACTACTGAACCACTAACTCCCATTGCGAGAACTGATACAACATCAGCGCAAAATTTCTTTGTTTTTTCGTCTTTTATTTTTTCATAAACTTCTTTAAGGGCTGGATAGTGCTCTCTAAGAAATTTTAGCGGTTTAGGAACTGAAGTCATAGACGTCGTAGATGTTCTTATCAAATTGCTTAGCATTTGTAATGCAGGGAAATATAGTTCAGTATCGTTACCCTACAACAAAAAGGTTATTAAGCTTACCAACCAAGAATCAAGTAAAAAAAATAGAACAAAGCTCTCACCATAAGCTTCTCAACGAGCATATTAAGTTCTTCTTGAAGTCTTTTGTCTTCTTCAGACTGAAAATTATAAATAAAATAAGACAATTGTTTGGACTAAATAATATTGGTATGAAATTTTATGAAATACTGTACCAAATCATCGTTCGGAGCTGGTACCGGCTCGACTTTCTCCTTTTTGGGTTCTTCGGTTTTATTCTTTACAGTCATTTTAAACTGTTTTGGTTTGTTTCCTACTACTTTTAAACTGAAATACTGCAAAAATTATCTCACAAAAGCAATGGATGAGTTTGATAAATTTGACAAGTCACTGTGCATTTTTTAATGTTACCAGTTGCCATTTCCATTTTCCATTGGAAAATTTTTATTCTCCAATGGAAAATGAATGAAACCTATGAATTTTTACAGATTAAAATATGATTATTACCTGTAATTAATGCTGTATTAAATTTTGGAAAAATTATAAAATAATTGATATAACGAATCTATAAAACATTTATATTATACTGTAAATGACCGATAACTTAATTTTTTTTAAATCGCAATAAAATTCTTATTTAATCAAATTAACAAATGAGTTTCAATTGTGTCGTCGAAAGAACTATAAATTTCTAAAATATAAAGCATTAATGAATAATTGTAAATTTCAAGAATTAGTTATTATTTCAAGTAATTTTCTGTAAAACATGCAACGAAGTCATGATGTTAAAAAGTATTTACCTATATAACATAAACAAAAAGAAACGAGACTACCTGAAAGGAAAAAAAGATCAATGTGTTTTGTTTCAAATTAGCATAACTCAGACCAATGGTCAGCATTATTTATGTATTATTCAGCGAATTATAAGTTTACTATAGCAGCACTGCTTGCGAAGCACGCAGTCCATTTGATATTTTGTTTGAATTACTGTCGTAAGCCGTAACATAAAAATTAGTTTTAAATGATATTTGCTTACTTATTCCACAGTTAAAAATATAACTTTGTTAGTTTTTGCAATTGCGCCACTTCTTATAAAATAAATAAAAGGTAAGTGGTGTTTATTTTAACCCGTTACCGTTATCATTTAAAGTGTCTTCGTGAGCTTCAGACTACAGTTACATTTTTTAAAATAATTTCATTTTTATAAAACGAGAATAAACGTTACCTTTAATCCTTATCACCTTATATAACTTTCGTTAGTGTGATTTGCTACTAACTTGCGTCTTAACCGTTTTTTAAAAATCAGATAATTTAAAGAATTGGTTTTTGCGTTTGCTAGACTAGCTCGAATAAGCAAGCTGGATCATATCACTCGACCCGGGAATCGAACTTTAGGCTTTTCCTATGTAAACTAAGCAATTGAACCCGCAGCAAACAGTATATCTAAAACTTGCGGTCATTTTTTAAGCTTCAATGTACATTATACATATAAATTACAAGATGTGTTGTTGATCGAAGATCTTTAGGGACCACATATTGTTAGGACTTGTACTTTGTGTTTTGCTTTCCTAGAGGTCGTTTAAATCCTGTCGTTTAGATATTAAAAGGGATTATAACTCCGATTTTGTTTTAACTTTTCAGCGTTATAATGAATCGTTTATCAGGAATTTCTAAAGGTCTTCATAGACACATGTTTAATTCAGCAGAGCACTACGGTCTCACTTTAACAATTAAGGATATGCCCCGACCGAAAAAATTGCCCTTAATCGGAACAAAACTTGATTTTATGCTTGCAGGGAGAGGTACCAGGTAAGCAAAACAACCGCAAAATTCAATGGAAATAAGAAAATGTCTTTAAGTAAGATATTATTTTTTTAACAGGCTCCACGATTACATTGACAAGAGGCATAAACAATTAGGAAGTATTTTTACCGAAACTTTAAGTGGAAACACAGATTTGGTATTCATCAGTGACGCAAATTTGATGAAGTCACTGTTTTTAAATCTTGAAGGAAAATATCCTGTTCACATATTGCCTGAACCATGGGTTTTGTACGAAAAATTATACGATTTTAAAAGGGGATTATTCTTCATGAATGGTGAAGAATGGTTGGAAAATCGTCGAAAAATGAACAAACATTTGCTTCGAGAAAATTCCGACACCTGGTTGGAAACTCCAATAAAAGAAACAGTCAAGAATTTTGTCGGAAAATGGAAAAATCGCGCTGCTGGTGCAAGTTGCGTGATATCCAATTTAGATTTAGAACTTTATAAACTATCTACAGATGGTAGTTTTTCTTTACTAATGTGTATATTAATGTTCTGATTCTTAATCGAAGTATGTTTACAATGATTAATAAAATATTTTTACCATTTCAGTAATAATTAAAGTACTGCTTGGCGCGGATTCCAAGCTTTTGGAAAGTAGGCAATATGAAGATTTAATATCAATTTTCTCGCAAGACGTTAAAAAAATATTTCAAACAACGACAAAATTATACGGTCTACCTTTAAATTTATGTCAACGGTTAAACATAAAAGTTTGGACTGACTTTAAAGAAAGTGTCGATTCTTCAATTTTTTTGGGTACGATAAATTTTACCGCTATTTGCTTTTTGTGAATGCTGTGAAACATAAGATATGAATTTGTTTCATGTGCAAATGGTTAAATATTACCAAAATAACGTCTGCTTATATTTCAAAGTTGTCAAAGATTTTAACAGTGCTTAAGTGGTTTCAGCTCAAAAAATTGTTAATGAAATACTTTTGAATAAAGATAAAACGAATGGATTGATAAGGAAATTAAGCGATGACAACGTAAGCGATGAAATCATTAAAAAAATTGCTATCGATTTCGTGATTGCTGCTGGGGACACGGTACAGTAACTTCGTTAACGTTTTGTTTTTCTATTGATGCAAAGCTGCATTATAAACATATTCATATTACAGACTGCTTACTCCACATTTTGGTCACTTTTGATGCTATCTGAAAACAAGGAGTCTGTGAAAGATATTCGTAAGAACGGATGCTCATTTGTAAAACACGTGGTAAAGGAAACAATGCGCCTATATCCAGTAGCTCCATTTTTGACGAGAATATTACCCGAAGAATGTTTGCTGGGACCATATAAAATTAATAAAGGGGTGAGTGGGTATGGCAAAAACGAAAAAGTTCAATATAATTTAAATATGTTTTAAATAGAGAATATTATCACGTTTTTAATACAAATCACCAACTATATTAATAAACATCGTATAAACAATTATTCTCTTACTTTCGCTGTAATTCTTTTTTTATTTTATTCGAAAAACAATACATGGCAATAACAAAGAGTACGGTCAAGTTTAAAAAAAAACTTTGTTTATGACAATAAAAACTGCCAAATTGAACTGACATTAATTGTCGAGGTTATATTTCTGTTGTTGATGTTTGTTATGGTTAAAAAACGTGAATTAAATTATTAATTTAAGTTAGTATTAAAACATTTAGACCAAATATACAGTAAACAATGCTGTCCTATAGTGGATTATCAAAACTGCGATTAATGCAAACAAAAGTCTTACAATGTCGAAGTCTTAGTATAATTTGCAATGGATTTCCTCAACACTCATTTGAAATTCATAGACGCTCAGAAAATGCGCAGATTTTACGTAGACATATTATTCCGTCTCATTTATATGCCAAACGTGATATGTCTTTACAATCCTTTGTCGAATGGCAGTCTGATTTATATTCTGGCATATCAAATAGTTACCTTGTGAAATCAATGGAAGCTGGGCTTCTTAATTTTCACGATGCAACTGGTCTCGCATGGTGCACTACCATTGTTGCCTCTACTATACTTATCAGAGCATTGATGACTTTACCCTTAACTGTTTATCAGAACTATATTTTAGCAAAAGTAGAGAACATCAGCTTAGAGTTAAAGGATTTGGTAAATGAATTAAAAAAAGAAACTGCGATAGCTAGGAAAGTTTATAATTTAACAGATAAACAGACAGTTATATTGTACAAACGATCATTAAAGAAGCAATGGCGAAATCTTATAGTTAGGGACAATTGTCATCCACTCAAAGCCACCTTAGTCATTTGGTTTCAAATACCTGTATGGGTGTGCATGTCTTTTGCACTCAGAAACCTTGTGTATACAGACCCAAATTCTGCTGCTGCCATGGTTACTTTTATGGAGCTATCAGTAGGTGGTTTTGGTTGGATTCCCAATCTAACTGAACCAGACCATTCATTAATTTTACCAGTTGCATTTGGGTTAACAAACTTAGCAATCATTGAAATACAAAGAATGTCAAAGCTACGGAAACCATCCAAAGTGTATTATATCTTTACAAATGGATTTAGAGTACTGTCAATAGTAATGATACCAGTTGCGGCCAGTGTGCCCTCATGTATGTGTTTATATTGGTTTACATCAAGCAGCTTTGGACTTATACAAAATTTATGCCTTCTCTCACCTAAACTAAGAAGAAAATTAAGGATTCCAGAAGCCCCTAGTGAACTGGAACATCCTTATAGTAACATGAAAGATGAAATAAGTGCAACAATTAGGAAGATAATTCCTAAAAAGACATAGTAAATGTACATCAAATTTTATTTCCTAGTTATAATTACTAACTTAATGATCAGTTTATCAATTTTAGTAGACAAAAAAGCCATCTCTATAATGTTTATATTAATTTTCTTACAGACCCCAATTATTGCTTCCATATATACCTCAGGCCGTGATGAACATAATTTCACCAATGCTCATATGTTCCTGCCATACAGATGGGACAGGAATGACCCAAGAAAAGCTGATCTCAAGAACCATGTTCCTTCAGCAACATTGCCTTTTGCTTTGGGAGCAAGAACTTGCATTGGGAAGAGGATTGCTATGATGCAACTAACAGAAGTTATAGAGCAGGTAGAATAAATGCTTTTTGACATATGCAATAATATGCACTAGTATTGAGATTATAATTTAATTCTTATTGAGAAACTTAAATGCAAAAAAAATGTACAGGAATTCATTTAATTACATATTTTTAATATTAGTAGAATCTACAAAGTGAATATTTTATTTGTATACTCTAAATTACTTATTTATTTCAGATTGTGAATAATTTTAATTTTAAAATACACAACGGTGAAAATGTGAAACCAATCACTTGCCAAGTGCTAGTCCCAGACAGGCATGTTGAGTTATACCTTACATCAAAGGAGATTTAAAACATGACCACTGTATGTGCAAATATATTATTTTATTACATAGATTAAGTAAATCATCTTGCTAATTTCATAAATGTAATTTATAAAACCTATGTTAATAGGAATTATACATAGACATTAAAAAATATGTAAAATAATCAAATAGTTGTAGATTTATCACCTTATAAAAGAATGCAATCAAGGTTTCATTAATTATATTTTATAAGATTTAAAATAAAGAATTACATTTACCTATAGTTTAATTTGAAGATATCATAAATGTGTAACCCTACTTATATTAACTTATAGTTTGTCTAAATAAGGTTAATAAGTTTAATTAATCGTGTCTATAAAATATCGAATAAGATTTGTATGAAGAGAAATACCATACTTAATAGACAGGTATCATAGTGACAGAAAATAAGTGCCTAGGAAACAACTATGAAGTGTCGATATTCAGTTTTATCATTTATCATGATAAAATATTGAACTGAAATTATTATTTACCTATTAATGAAACTAAGAGACAGTTCTAGTCTGTACCAATATTATAAAGTGGAATGAATTGGATTTTCGATTTCAAAAATTCTTTTACCATTGAAAATCTATGTTGTCAGTGAGAAGCATAGGCCATATTATTTTATTATCGAATTTCATGGGGACGAAGTCGCGAGCAACAGCTAGTGGTACATATAATGATAGCGATGTCAATAATATTATCAAATTCCACTGAGATTATGAACCACCATATTAATAATAAATATCTATTAACTTTCATTCTTTGTA